ACTTCTAGACACACAGGTGACTGTGGTATGGTGACCACTACTAGACACACAGGTGACTGTGGTATGGTTACCACTACTAGACACACAGGTGACTGTGGTATGGTGACCACTACTACCCACACAGGTAACTGTGGTATGGTGACCACTACTACACACAGGTGACTGTAGTGTGGTGACCACTGCTACACACAGGTGACTGTGGTATGGTGACCACTACTACACACAAAGGTGACTATGGTATGTACCTGGATGCGGTTCTTAGAGTTCTACTCTCAAAGCCTGGCCCTGGGCCAGGCTGAACTTGTTGGAACTTGCTGTCAAATGATGCTGCTTGGAGTGGCCAGCTCATAAAGTTTCAAAATTTTATGAAAAACGTTAATTGAAAGTTTCCTTTCCTAGCGTTTCCGAGTAGGCCGGGGGACTCAAACAGAAAACGGGACAGTACGTCACTTTTTTGAGTTGATTTCATTTCAAATTACGTCCACATTTGGCCATAGTGCGCATACGAGCGAAAAGCGACGTTTCTTTTTTTGGAGGACGGGTTGGGCCAGCAGCATGTCAGCTAGTCAACTATATCCCGGTTGGTCCAGCACTTCTTCCTTCATATGTCCAGTTTTTTCTTCACGGCTTCGAATTTTGCTCCGACAATATTTCTTGTGATTCCTGGGAAGATATCTAACAACGCTTGTTCCTACAGTGTTCTCTGAGTGTGCCTATGGTACCTCTACTCTTCACTGGCTCTAATCTACATTTATTTCCGTATCGTTTACGTTCTTGTTGTTATTTTATTTTGCACGTTTGGAACTTGGCCTTCCAGTATTTTCCATTAATATGGATTTTATACCTCTCTCTCTCTCTCTCTCTCTCGTCTCCTTTCCATAGAGTACTTTTTGAAAGCTATGAGACAAACCCAATAGTTAAGGTGTTCTATCGTGTCTGTGTTTGCTCTATAGGTTCTCTGCATCCCTTTTCTCAGCAGTCTCTCCTGCTCTGAAGAGGAAAGTGAGTTTGAGCAGTACTCATGGCGGAACATCACACGTGATCTCATTAGCATGAACATTGTCATAGGATTCCTGGAATGGATGTTCTCGTATTCCATCCCATCATTTCTCCAGCTGACACTATATTTGTTGGGTTCTCCTTAAACGTAATGTCATCATACACCATTATTCCTACATTCTGTACGTGTTGTTTTCCTAACATTGGCAGATTTGATTGTCTTATACTTTGTTTAAGGTCTTTATTTTCTCATATCTAACTCACTGGTGAGCAGTACTGACAGAACATGTTCCCATCGCTGCGGCGCCCGTTGAGGAGATAGCAACTGAATTGCTCTGGCTTTGTCCTGGCTGATAGCACACATCAATTGGTACCATTATTCACAAAGCAAAGATGCGGTTCCGAGGGTCTCACACCTTGACCCGGACGGAAACTCTCGGTATTCTGTTGGGAATCACCACCGTTGCACAGATCGACATCGTTGACGACAGTGGAGCTCAATTCCTCTTCAAGAATGAAGAGGCTCTTCAGGGCCTGTTCATTCCCACCATACAGACTGCATTAGAGGCAGCCAACCTGATCTTACTCCCAGTGAGGCAGTAACAGGCTGCGAGGCATGTTTTCATTCTCAGAGTGGGCACCATCTTCTCTGATCGGCCTGTTCATGATGTTATTGCCAGCATCAACCTGCAGTACCTGCCCTTAACTGCGGTGTATGTGAAAATAATTTGGTAGGTCGATAATCGATGCCTGACTACCTGAAATTAACAATCAACCCCCCCCCCGGCTGAGGTTACCTATGCTACTGACAATCAACCCCCCGGCTGAGGTTACCTATGCTACTGACAATCAACCCCCCGGCTGAGGTTACTTATGCTGCTGACAATCAACCCCCCGGCTGAGGTTACCCATGCTGCTGACAATCAACCCCCCGGCTGAGGTTACCCATGCTGCTGACAATCAACCCCCCGGCTGAGGTTACCCATGCTGCTGACAATCAACCCCCCGGCTGAGGTTACCCATGCTGCTGACAATCAACCCCCCAGCTGAGGTTACCCATGCTACTGACAATCAACCCCCCGGCTGAGGTTACCCATGCTGCTGACAATCAACCCCCCAGCTGAGGTTACCCATGCTACTGACAATCAACCCCCGGCTGAGGTTACCCATGCTACTGACAATCAACCCCCCGGCTGAGGTTACCCATGCTGCTGACAATCAACCCCCCGGCTGAGGTTACCCATGCTGCTGACAATCAACCCCCCGGCTGAGGTTACCCATGCTGCTGACAATCAACCCCCCAGCTGAGGTTACCCATGCTACTGACAATCAACCCCCGGCTGAGGTTACCCATGCTACTGACAATCAACCCCCCGGCTGAGGTTACCCATGCTGCTGACAATCAACCCCCCGGCTGAGGTTACCCATGCTGCTGACAATCAACCCCCCGGCTGAGGTTACCCATGCTGCTGACAATCAACCCCCCAGCTGAGGTTACCCATGCTACTGACAATCAACCCCCCGGCTGAGGTTACCCATGCTGCTGACAATCAACCCCCCAGCTGAGGTTACCCATGCTACTGACAATCAACCCCCGGCTGAGGTTACCCATGCTACTGACAATCAACCCCCCGGCTGAGGTTACCCATGCTACTGACAATCAACCCCCCAGCTGAGGTTACCCATGCTACTGACAATCAACCCCCCGGCTGAGGTTACCCATGCTGCTGACAATCAACCCCCCGGCTGAGGTTACCCATGCTACTGACAATCAACCCCCCGGCTGAGGTTACCCATGCTGCTGACAATCAACCCCCCAGCTGAGGTTACCCATGCTGCTGACAATCAACCCCCCGGCTGAGGTTACCCATGCTGCTGACAATCAACCCCCCGGCTGAGGTTACCCATGCTACTGACAATCAACCCCCCGGCTGAGGTTACCCATGCTACTGACAATCAACCCCCCGGCTGAGGTTACCCATGCTACTGACAATCAACCCCCCGGCTGAGGTTACCTATGCTGCTGGCAATGGATTCAAAAGTTTAGGCATCTCCTCCACGCCCAGCCACTGCTAGACACACCAAGGTGGTGACATCTTCCAAAGAGAGGTATTTTCCACTTAGTGCTAAAAGTGTTTCTAGTGAACTCTCTTCACTTGAAAGTGTTAACTTCAAGCCGCAAAATGTAACATCTGTGTCCCCGATCGATTCTCTTCAGACACTAATGGCGACCTACCAACGCTGCATTCTTGGCGACAGAGCCTCCCACTTGCTGGGTAACCAACACCAGGCCTCCCACTTGCTGGGTAACCAACACCAGGCCTCCCACTTGCTGGGTAACCAACACCAGGCCTCCCACTTGCTGGGTAACCAACACCAGGCCTCCCACTTGCTGGTAACCAACACCAGGCCTTCCACTTGCTGGGTAACCAATACAAGGGCTCCCACTTGCTGGGTAACCAACACCAGGCCTCCCACTTGCTGGGTAACCAACACCAGGGCTCCCACTTGCTGGGTAACCAACACCAGGGCTCCCACTTGCTGGGTAACCAACACCAGGCCTCCCACTTGCTGGGTAACCAACACCAGGCCTCCCACTTGCTGGGTAACCAACACCAGGCCTCCCACTTGCTGGGTAACCAACACCAGGCCTCCCACTTGCTGGGTAACCAACACCAGGCCTCCCACTTGCTGGGTAACCAACACCAGGCCTCCCACTTGCTGGGTAACCAACACCAGGCCTCCCACTTGCTGGGTAACCAACACCAGGCCTCCCACTTGCTGGGTAACCAACACCAGGCCTCCCACTTGCTGGGTAACCAACACCAGGCCTCCCACTTGCTGGTAACCAACACCAGGCCTTCCACTTGCTGGGTAACCAATACAAGGGCTCCCACCTGCTGGGTAACCAACACCAGGCCTCCCACTTGCTGGGTAACCAACACCAGGGCTCCCACTTGCTGGGTAACCAACACCAGGGCTCCCACTTGCTGGGTAACCAACACCAGGCCTCCCACTTGCTGGGTAACCAACACCAGGCCTCCCACTTGCTGGGTAACCAATACAAGGGCTTCCACTTGCTGGGTAACCAACACCAGGCCTCCCACTTGCTGGGTAACCAACACAAGGGCTCCCACTTGCTGGGTAACCAACACCAGGCCTCCCACTTGCTGGGTAACCAACACCAGGCCTCCCACTTGCTGGGTAACCAACAAGAGAGCTCTCAGTTGCTAGGTAACCAACAAGAGGGCTCTCAGTTGCTAGGTAACCAACAAGAGAGCTCTCAGTTGCTAGGTAACCAACAAGAGGGCTCTCAGTTGCTAGGTAACCAACAAGAGAGCTCTCAGTTGCTAGGTAACCAACAAGAGAGCTCTCAGTTGCTAGGTAACCAACAAGAGAGCTCTCAGTTGCTAGGTAACCAACAAGAGAGCTCTCAGTTGCTAGGTAACCAACAAGAGGGGTCTCAGTTGCTAGGTAACCAACAAGAGGGCTCTCAGTTGCTAGGTATCCAACAAGAGGGCTCTCAGTTGCTAGGTAACCAACAAGAGGGCTCTCAGTTGCTAGGTAACCAACAAGAGAGCTCTCAGTTGCTAGGTAACCAACAAGAGGGGTCTCAGTTGCTAGGTAACCAACAAGAGGGCTCTCAGTTGCTAGGTAACCAACAAGAGGGCTCTCAGTTGCTAGGTAACCAACAAGAGGGCTCCCAGTTGCTAGGTAACCAACAAGAGGGCTCTCAGTTGCTAGGTAACCAACAAGAGGGCTCTCAGTTGCTAGGTAACCAACAAGAGGGCTCTCAGTTGCTAGGTAACCAACAAGAGGGCTCTCAGTTGCTAGGTAACCTAGAGAGAGGTCACCAACCAGTAGTCGAGGTTGCAATCTCGACTACTGTACCTGTCCAGCAAGAAAGCTCACATAAGAGTTCACTGACAGTTTCCGTGGTAAATAAAATTGGTGACAACATTACTGGCGAAGTACAGCATGACGGAAGAAGTTGTTCTTACCTATGGTGTTCCTGACTGCCGTGGGACGACTGGGGTTGAGGAGGAGCCGGTCCGGGGTGAGTGTGAAGAGCGTCAGGCGACGACGGACCAGCTCTTGTGGCAGACTCTCAGGAAACTGCAACAAATGGTGATAGTCTCACATGATCGAAAATCTTTCGTACACACAATATTTAACCCTGACACACGAAGCAAATGCTGCTGTGTTCGGAACAGACGATATTACTAACCCCTACCATACCAAGCTAATACGGTGATGGTAGGACATACTAATATTATCCACTAATAACCATGAGAGGATCAATAAAGGAATCAAGTATAGTGGCTTCTCAGGGTAAATTGAATATTGCCTCTTAAGTAAATCCGCCACTTACGCACAACATTTCCCTTATGAGAACCTAAAACCTTCAGTCTAAGGGTTAAACATGATAAAAAGTACTCATTAGAACGATTGGTATTTAATTAAATACCAATCGAATCACAGGTCGTTAATGACGAATTTGGAACCTTGTCGATGGTCGTGTCCACTGCGAGAGTCGGGGAGGGAGACGCCAAGCGACACCATTGTGTGGATGGCATGCTAGACGCTCACACGTACCAGCTCCCACAAGACTCAACACGTGATCGTATCATCCACACTTCTCGCAAATTTCGTGATATAGGAACCCTAGAAGTCCGCTCAACCCCCGATTTTGTACCTTGGGAAGTATTGTACCCATCGACTGGTAAAATATATTAATTTGTCTTGGCCAAGTGTTATCATATATTGTAGCCCGGTTATGTTACCAGCGAGCCACCCCGAACGGGTAAGCTCTTGTATCTTAATACAAATTCCTTCCCTGAAATATGCTGTGTATAGTAGTGACAGAATACTTCTTATTAGTTACTCGGCAGGTGCAGTTCGAGGGAGGAGGAAATAACATTGAGTCAACCTGTGGTAACACGAGACATTCCCAGTCACCATTAGAGCCCTTGAGGTGTTTCCGGAGCTTAGCATCCCCGCGGCCCGGTCGTCGTCCAGGCCTCCTCGTTGCTGGACTGGTCAACCAGGCTGTTGGACGCGGCTGCTCGCAGCCTAACGTATGAATCGCAGCCTAGTTCATCAGTTATCCATTGGAGGTGCTTATCGAGTTCTCTCTTGAACACTGTGTGGGGTCGCCCAGTTATGCCCCTTATGTGTAGTGGAAGTGTGTTGAACAGTCTGCAGCCTCTGATGTTGATAAAGTACTCTCTCAGAGTACATGTTGCACCTTTGCTTTTCAACGGGGGTATTGTGCACATCCTGCCATTCCTTCCATGTATTTTGTGATCTTACTTCTTAGCACTCTCTCAAAGATTTTTATGATGTGCGATGTTAGTGCTATCGGTCTGTAATTTTTTGCCTCTGCCTTATTTCCTCCTTTATGGAGTGGTGCTATCTCTGCTGTTTTTAGTATATCAGGGATAACGCCAGTATCTAGGCTTTGTCTCCACAGAATGTGAAGGGCCTGTGATAGTAGTTTTTACAGTTCTTGATGAATATGGCGTTCCAAGAATCAGGGCCTGGTGCAGAAGCTTACTGTTTATAGCTTCTTCAAAATCCAGTGGGGATAGGGTGACATCTGATATATGATTTGATGTTGGTATCATATCTATGAAAAATTCATTTGGGTTATTAATCTTTAGTGTGTTTAGTAGCTCGCTGAAAACAGAGTCGTACTGCTTCCTCAGTATCTTGCTCATTTCTTTGTTGTCATAGGTGAAAGTTCCGTCTCCCTTTCGCAGGGGCCCGATACTAGATGTGGTTTTTTATCTTGATTTTGCATAGGAGAAATTTTTTTTCAGATTTCTCCCTATCCAACGAGGTTTCATGGAAGGGGACAGAAGGATGTCCAGTGCCTATTATCAGGCTGTTGCTACTCACTTGCTAAGAAATGTTTATCTCTAACCTATTTAACAGTTGTACTAACATTAATTTTGTAGTTTATTTATTATCCACTAGTAGTGGTATGGGCTACGTACATATACCCCCCAAACTTGTGAGTAGGACAACATCCAACAGGATAAATTTAAATACAGTCTACTATGCAAAATACAGTCCACTCCTAAATATACAGTCCATTCTTAATTAATAATATTAAATTAAAGTTAACTAATAAGTTAATATTTTAAAGTACATAAATCAAATGAATTCCTGCTTGGAAAATTTCCCTCACACATTGTTTCCATAACCTGCCCTGAAACCTACTGTCAGTGTGTAGGAGGAATGCAGTTACAAGTATTCCGCCCCTTGCTTGTCAGCTAAGAGGCTGGTGTTGTTGATTTAGGGGCCACTATAGTAGTAGTGCCAAATGTGCCACAGCCGGCTATAGACAGAGAAAATTGTAAGCCTTACAGCTAATTGTTACCTGTCGGCAGATGGCTACTATTCCCTAAGGCAGATAAACATGTTCTAAAGCAGATGTTTGGCGACCCTGGGCATCCCTCCCAGAGAGGTAAATGCAACCTCACACAGAGAACCACCTGGGAGACCTTCGGTTCCTAGCGATCCCAGCCGAAAACTCGCCAGGCGTCCTGTAGTGCAAGGTAGTCGAGCAGTGGAATAAAACCACATCCTAATGGCAGCTGTGGCTTCGTGATGTCCTCAAATTCCTCCAGAAGGTTCTGCAGGTCAGGAGAGTTATGTGGGGCAAGGCTAGTGAGTACCTGTTGCTCTGTACTCACCCACTGAAGCTCCCCCATACGTCACATCCACCAAGCGGGTGTGATGGTATAAGAAATCATACCCCCATTATAGGCATATTACCTTCAGCAACGTGGAATGTCCATGTGAAGCGACCAAGGTCAGCAAAACCACATCTCAATGGCCACTCAAATGCTCAAGCTCAGTTGGGCAAAAACGTATTAACATCTTCCGTAACCTCCATCAGAGCACGAGCCAGTGTCCACCACGCCCCGAGGACACACCAGGAGCCAGCGCCCATCACGCCCCGAGAGTTCTCGGGGCGCAGAGGGGTCTGATGAGTTCCCTATACAACTGTGATTCAAATTGTTGACCCTGGTCCGTGACAAGCGTTGCAGAGGCTCCAAAACGGGATACCCCCCATAAAGGAAAGCCCGAACTACCGACTCGGCTGTCATTTCGACCATAGGAACTGCCTAAGGTCATCTGGAGAAGCGGTCAACATACGTGAGTAGGTATGAGCATCCCCAGGATCGAGGAAATGGACCGACAAAATCCACTTGCACTACTTCAAATCTGGCCGATGGTAACGGAAAGTTCTGAAGAGGCGTCTGTGTGTGTCGATGTATCTTTGATTGCTGACACTGGAGGCAGTTGCACATCCAACTTCGAACATCAGTGTTAATTCCTGGCCATACCATCCATTTGGTCAGGAGGCATGGTGTAGCTAGGATGCCCTGGTGAGCCAAGGATTGGAGAGCCGTGAAGATCCTGCGCCGATGGTTCTTGGGTATACATGGCAATAGGACGCCAATGAGAGATGTGTCACATGTGATAGTATCCTCTGAATTAGGCACAGGTACGTCAACAGGCCGAAGTGCTGAGGAAGAGGTGCCCAATTGTAGGAGTTCCAGGTCCTGTCGCTGGGCTCTAGCAATTTCTGCGTAGTCAAAGTGGATCGTCTCGGGAAAAGTGCGCACAAGCAAGGTCGAGAGAAGGCATCTGCGACTACATTCTCAGTCCCCTTCACGTGCCTGATGTCAGTTGTGAACTGGGATATTTAGCTCAAATGTCGAATGACTTGCAGCAAGTGGGAATCTCCCTTTGCTGCCAGGGCAGCAGCCAGTGGTTTGTGGTCGATGAGGACGTGGAAGTCACGTCCCTGGAGAAAATGCCTGAAGTGTTGAATGGCTACATATATAGCAAGGAGTTCCTTGTCAATTGTGCTGTATTTCGTCTCTGCTGACGTTAAGCCTGCTAAAAAAAAAGGAATGGGTCACCAGGTGTCGTCGATAAATTGATGGAGTACCACTCCTATAGCAGTGTTGGAGACATCAAATGAGAGGCTAATTGACGCCTTGAATACTGGACGGGCGAGGAGAGTGAGTTGAGCTAACTCCTGCTTAAGGTTGGTGAACGCCATCTCTGCCTCTGGTGACCATGGCAGGGGTACTTTGGACGCCTGCTTATGCCCACACAGGAGGTTATATAAAGGTTTCAGGATCTCAGAACAGTGCGGGATAAACCTTTGGTAAAAATTAACCGCACCCAGGAATTCTTGAACCTTCTTAGGGAGAAGAAGCTTCAAGAATTTTCCGACACCCACCACTTAGCTGCGGTGGGTGTCGGAAAATCTCGGATAGCGTCAATCTTCTTCTCCAGTGGCATAATACCTGTGGAGGACACTCGGTGTCCCAAGACGTTGAGCTCAGGAACCTCGAAAATGCATTTCTCAATATTAATCTGCAGGCTATATTCGCACAGGTGAGTAAAAAGAATACGAAGATGCTTCCAATGGTCAGCCGGAGAGCAACTCACTATAAGGAGGTCATCAGTGTAAGCATAGCTGAAGGGTCTGCTTTGTGTCTGGAGTTTTTCTCATGAGTAGGCTGGCCGTTTTTCTGGTTTTATAGTAAACCATTATAGTAAAATCAGAAGATACAACTGACGAGTTACTATAAAACCAGAAAAACGGCCAGCCTACTCCTGAGAAACTCTCCAGACACAAAGCAGAACGCTTTAAAAGAGACCAACGTCGTCTATGCCTTCAAATGCCCTTTTGGGGACTGTATGCCTCAAAAAACCCAGTATATAGGCAAGACAACAACATCTCTTTCCAGGCGTTTAACTATGCATAAGCAACAGGGCTCCATTAAAGAACATATAATCTCTTCCCACAACCAAACCATCACCAGAGAAATCTTAGCAAACAACACAGAAATCATCGATAGATACAGCGATAGCAGGCAGCGGCTTGACGTCTGCGAGGCACTACACATCAAGAAGTCAACACCAGCAATCAACAGCCAATTAATGCACAACTATATTTTACCCACTTCAAGACTCCGCTCCAATATAGAAGCATCAAGAAATATGGACCAATAGGCTTTCTACAATTACTTCCATTCAATACCCATTGTTTCGTGTTCTGTCTTGTGTTTGAATTTAATACCCAT